TGGTAAACAGTGTTACAGATTAGTGTATTTGTAATTTAAATGAAGATAATACATCAAAGCTGAATCTGAAAAGGAAGGAGAAGTTTAGGAAATGATTCATCCCCTCCTTTTGTGTATGATCTACTGTAGAAAATAAATAAATGGGAAGGAGAAGGAGGGGGAAGAATTGTGGATTTTAGGAAACAAAATTGAACTATTTCTGAGACAGACTCAATCCCAATAGCTAAATCTTTGTTTTCTTGAAGCACACTAATAAATTCCGCCTAATTCATTTTTTATTTTCTCTCGGGGTCTGCTTGCAGATTTGCTTCAACAAAGGAAGCATCATGTTACATCCTTTAAATAATTGATGCTTCTCAGTCCAAGCCAGCTTGAAGGAAATTCTGAAAATAGGTACCGATTGAGCAAACGCCTCTGCTGCCCGCTTTCCCTCCTCAGCACTCTCTGCTCTCATCCTGCTTAATAAAACTTGCTTTCCCCTCCCCCTGTGTTCTTTGCCTCCTTGATGGAGCAGATGATGTTCTCCTTTGGGTTTAGTTTTTACCTAATGCTTGGTATCGCTCATGCATTTCACCCCATTCCATTTGTTTTATTAAAGACAGAGGGAGCCGTTCATATAAGTGGGCTGATAGAACGGAGAGCTCTTAATTAATCTGTCGAAATGTTATGCCATAATCACCATCAGAGACGGTTCCTTGGGACTGGGCACAACTGGGAGAAGTTGTCCCTATTGATGGGCAGGGGGCTCTCATTTCCCAAGGAGCAGAGTCAGTTGCAGCTTTGCCCACTGCCGGCTGCTCCTGCAGGTTCTAGTCCTGCGAGCTGAACTGGTTCCCCTCCAAGAAGAGAGTTTTCCGCCTTCATGCACCATGGGTGGTGTTGGCCATTTTCTAAGTCTTGGAAAGGCCTGCTTTCAGGTAGCTGTGGTTGGTAGAATATTAGGCTGGTCTCCCATGGTCACGGCTTCTAGGTCTGACTCCGAGTTGCATATCCTTCCAGGACCTCCTTTTCATACTTTGTAAAATGAGGGTGCCGGGTGGGTCATCTCCAAGGTCTCCATCACTGGCAGTCTTCCATCTTCCAGGAAAGGCGTGAAAGACTCAGGAGAAGCTGCACCCACGTGACTTTGGGTACAGTCATGGTGTTCTGAGTTTGTCTGAACGAGAGCTATAAGTTCCTTCTTATCATCCTTCCTGTTTCTTTCCATTATTTCTGTTAGTCTTTCACTTACTTTCTTTCTCCCCAGCCCCCTACCCCCCTTCCTTTTCCTTCCTACCAGCCTACATTTCCAGGGCTAAAGTGGAAGGAGAGTAGCTGGCTGAGTATTAAAATCAAGAATCTCAGTTGACTTCATAAGCTAAACACTCATTTTTAGAATGTTCTGTCCTCCCAGGCAAGCTTTCTCTATGATTCTCCAATTGCAGCAGAAAGTAGCCAATATTATTGAATTTGGGAAGTGGCAAATATCAGGAGAGCTAAATCCGGAATTCTGATGCTGTGTATCCGTCACTGACAAAGCTGTAGCTGAATGGACGGATTGCTGTCCACTCCCAAAACTGTCAGTCTGACCCACTCTTCCTTTAAAGGGGCACCATGTACGGGCATTGCTCTGTTTCCTCCTTAGGTAGGGCTGACTTCCGGTGGCTGAAGTTGTCTTTGCCTGCATCCTCCCAGCCACCTGAGGCAGATCATTTGTATAAATTATGCTTGCCCAGAATAAGCTTTTCTGGTTGCCCTTCTCAAAACCCATTGTCCCCCAAAATCTTCAGATCATCAAACCAATCTAGGCCGACACAAAAGGGAATCTGGGCAGGTGAAGGAGCTCTTCTGTTTGTCTTTTATTGTCAACTGTATGCTAAGGTTATCTTTAGAAAGACCAAAGGAATTATTTTGGTTCTCCTTTTGAAATCTTTATGTTTACCAGCCATTTGCTTTTTGCACGTGTATGTACCTCAGGCTTTCATAATGTATGTAAGGAGATTGCAGGTACCTCCTCCCAGTAAAATATACTCCTCAGTTTTTGGAACTAAAAATGTGCTTTTCCCGGAGGACGGCTGTGTTGTTCATGGTTGAGTTTCACTGCAATGCAACTGTGCTTCACAAATATCATGTGCTAAGTGGCTTCTCTTTTTATTGGAATGTCCAGTCTTCTACCACCTCAGGAGCAAAAGGACAGATCTTTCTGCCTATGAAGATAGAGAGCTAACTCTCCTTTGAGAAGATCTCTGAAGTAACACAGAGAGTAATGGTGGTGGTGATAGAGGACGGTGTGGGGAACGTGTAAGTCCTGTTGCCTTACAGTCGGCAACTGTGTGGGTGAAGACACTGGAGTTATCTTCCTATACTTGAAACATATTCTGTGCAATAAGGACGGGAATCCAGATCCTTCCTTCCCCACCGTCTTACCTCGCAACCTTCGCATATGGCACTACACCCATTGAGATCTGTGTGGAAAGTGGCCCCGCTGAGCTGTGCAAAGCAAAATCCAGGAGACTGCCCCTGGCAGTTCTTAATCCTGAAATTAATATCTTTGTTGTCAGTTTAAATGTCCAAACTCAATAATTACTTGGATCTAGGTCCAAGGGTGGTGAACCTATGGCATGCGTATGATTTCTTTTTCTTTTAAGGCAAATGATGTGACTGTATGAGTTGTGTTTTATAAACGAAAACCTCACCATTCGGGTTTAATTGCGGCATGGGTACTTTGCAATAGTTATGTGAGTTTTGGGCTGCACTTTGGGCACTCATCTCTAAAAGTCTGGATAATTCTCTGTTTATGAAACAGTTATTTCTCAGTCTACATTTTACAGTGGGTAGTTTAGAATTCAAGGGAAAAATAGATACGTGGTAGTGAGTTTTCCAAGTTATCCACAAAATTCTTCTAGACCGTATTGTAACTGACTTTTAAAGGCTATTTGCAGAGCCTCCCTGCTTCAGTAAGGGATCCACAGTGTTGGATAAGAACACTTGCAGTTGGGTTGATCGTCATTACTTAACCTGGGGATTAACCTGGGGAGCTGTGTACTGCAGTTTCCCCTAGATCATAAGTTAACAGGAACTAATTCCACACCTTCTTCCAATGCTCTACCGTCTCCCCCACGCACGGACCCTGACCGTCCTGAGTTAGATGCCTCTGCTCAGAGAGTTGGCATGTATGGTACAAACATCATTATTGTAATACCCATGTTATTTTGAATATTCATCAATTTCAGAGCTAGAGTTTGACAAGTGATATGTTTTCTGTGTTATGCGGTACGTTTCAGTCTTGATATCTGCAGTTACATTAGTCATGGCCGTTGGCACCATGACCTGACATCACTGCAGATATCCATACCTGCAAGATTTGTGCTGACCCATACCCTTCTGGACACCCCAAGTCCTAAGCCTTCTCTTAAAAATAAAGAAATAACAACCTAACTTGGTTCCCTTGGGCTAATAACCACGGAATACCAACTGAGTGGGTTCTCTCCTAATGCTTCTTTATACTTATACAGATTGCAACTTGCTGACTGAGAGACCTCCCGTGTTCACAGTCCTAGAAAATAAATAGGATTGGGTTCTCCCATCCCACTCATCCAGCCACCTACCTCTTTCAAGGGAATCCTGGAGCAACCTCTTGTTCTTATCTGAAAAACAGCCCCCTTTTCTCTCTTTGATTCTAGACCCTGTTAAAGCCCAGTTGACATTAGACGTCTCCGCTCTGGTCACTGGGCTTAGTTGGTCTTCAGCTCTCATTCTATGGGGGAATTCACTTAGAAATCAGCCCCTTGTTTTCTAGGCCCCAAGTAGTTTCTCTTTAGCATTAAATCAATGATCAAAACATGGTTTTGGTTACTTCTGGTAGCATGGGGGTGTTAAGAGAGAATTGGAGCCCAAACTTCCATCTTGCTTATTTGTTAAGCGTTTTACTTTTAACTCGATTCTCAGAATCAGCAAGGGGAAGCTATGGGCTTGAAGGTGCCCTGGTGAATAGATGGAGATGCCCCCTTTAGGAGCCTTCCAGCAAACACACAGAATCTCTTTGCAATCATCACCTCTCAGAGTCTGCTGTGGCCCTGTTCATGCTCTCAGGAGTGTGATGGAAAATGGCCTGGTGCCACTTGGCTGATTAATTCCCCCACATTTTGCAGGTAATGAATCTCAGCAGATCATTCACCAAACAAATAGTAAGGGACCTTCCAGGGGCCACTTAGTTACAGTCCACCCTTGAGCTGTAAGTTCAGTGTTGAATTCCCTTGGGTAGCCAAAAGGTCACTAGACCGTGCTCCACAGCCCCTTTATATCAGGGTAAAGATTTGGGAAGCATTCAGATAAACCCTATGCAATTGCTATTTTTGTCTATCAAAACTGGTAAAATACTGGCAATTTTGTGCGGCTAATCACAAAAGCTTCCTTTTGTAGACAAACATTCTACCTAAAGTACTGTGCATATTGAGTTAAAGCCCATGACTCGAAACAGATTCTCAGTCTTTCCACTTAGAAAACTTGTGCGTCTTTCCCTACTGCTGTTTGTCTTTTTTTAAGGATTAGAGACACAAGAAGCAAAAGTCACATTTGGAGGAATGACTGCATTTTGAGACTGATGTGATATAAGTGGAAAGTCCATTGGTCTTGGAAGGTTTTCTTCTCTGGAAGTTATAAATGGGTGTTATAATGGGAAATACTTTGAGAGCATTCGCTATAAATAAGAGAGGAGCGGAAGATTAATAAATCGGATAAAGCTGAGAAGGAAGAAAACTTAAAATAAAAATGAGGACTATACCTTCACTGGAGTGTTAATACCGCCCTGGCTATATATATATATATATATATATATATATATATATATATATATATGAAAATCAAAGACTCGCTCAGAGCCCACTAAGTTGTAGCTATTAACGTGTGCTTAAGTCTATTGCTGGGAGATTTTATTAAATGCACTGGCTGAGAAAATTGACCTTACTTTTTTTTTTTCCTTTTCTGGGTCGGATCCTTGCTCACATCACATAAATGAACAGAGCTGACAACTGATTGGTTCATCAATGAGCAATATTAAATAATGAAGATGTAAGGGAAGAGTCCTCTGCTAACATTGTCACAGCTTGAAAGGTAAGGTGTTCCCTACACAGCCAGGAGGCAGTAATGTTCCTTAGAAACCCATCTAGCACTATGTCATGTGATAGAAGGTGGTTAAATCCCCCCTTGACATCTTTATCCTCTGTCACTGCGACCTTGGCGAGTCTTTCTTTAGTAAGGAAAATGAAGAACTTCTGATGTTTCCCTCATTCCAGCTTTTAAAAGCCAAAAATGTCATTTGGGTCTTCCACAGTGTTTTATTTGGTGATATCCTGACAAGTTGAGTGTGTGCTGCAGTGGCCATGTGGGTCCTTTGGAAAGGTTCTGCTCATTTCTGTTGATTTGCTATCTTGATGAATAAACTGTGGTGGTCAGGCTTAGACTTTCTTACTTCTGATCTTTTGGTGATGAGTAAGAAGCAAATATCACTTTCCTCTACATCTTGTCCTGTGTCTCAGAGAGAAAGTGCTCTCTTTCTCTTCTAGCTTCTGCAGACTTTCTAAGAGTTCTTGCTCTGTGCTTAGTTACCAAATGAATGTCCACTTCTTTCTAAGAATCTCTAAAGGTTGAGAGTTCCCTTGACTCCATTTTCGAAGGAGTGTCACATAACACCTCCTTTCCTGGGATGCCATGGGTTCCAGGAATGGTCCTCTAGAACCCAATCCCCTGCTTGGATTGTGTGGGACTTTTGATGGACAGTGCAGGATCCTTGACTGACTCATTGTGATTTGAGCACCTGTCACATAGAAGACCCCAAGGGTCCCCACCCCATGGTGCTGTCTCCATGTCCCTCCAGGTGAGTCACATTTCCAAAAAACAATCTGTGGACTCCTGCCTCAGTGTAGCAAATGGCACTTTAGAAGTGAAATCGTCTTTCTCATGGCACCCACACTGCTGAATTTGCAACTGGGCATACTTAAGGTGGAGGGAGATGTGTTTCCATGTCTGGAGTGGTCTGAAATACATATAGTGCTGTCTCTGCTTCTGCAGCTGAAACTATCCAAAAATGGAGTTCTGACCCCAAATATTCACTTGTAATTCTGGAGTAGCATTTGTTGTTTTGCATAGCATCAGCTTGGTGGTAAATATTGGTGGTACTTAAACCTACTCCTTAAAAAGGACAGGTGTGCCCTGCTTTCAGAAAACCTGGCTCTGCTTCGAATTCATGCTTACTGGGCCATTACAGAAGGGACAGTTATTTGCACACTAAAAATAGCTTGGCTTCATAAAATAATTTATCACAAGATTCCTTTAAATAACCAACTCTCTTAGAGCATTTAAAATATGATTTGATTTGAAAAATCAATGGTTCCCTCACTCAACTTTTCAAGAACACATCTGCTTTGTAAGGAGAGACAGCTAAAGGAGGGGTGCAGCAACAAGGGATGGGGGGCTAAAGTGAGCTGGGTGGGAATTAATATTAATTTAGAAGTGAATTTACTTTTCTAGACCTTCCCAGGGAAGACACCTTCACCTTTCACAGCTCCACAGGACATAAGGGGGAAAAAAACAGCCCAACTTGAGTTTGGAGCAGATACATCTATCTCTTTGGTGGGCCGCGTTCTGCATTATGCATGTGCGTAGAAGTGAGGTTTGCTTTGATCCTGACTATTAAAAGTTTATTTTTAAACTCAGACTGGGCAGGCATCCAGCGATGCTCTTCCCCTGAGCACATCCTGGGTTTCAGGTCCTCGGCCTGCAGAATGCAACTAAGCAACAGGAAGGAGCTCAGAAGTGCGGAGACTTGATGGGTGCGGAGGGTTTTTTTCTCCCTTCCTCCCCTCTATTTTTGAAATTCAAATTGAATGCAATTTTCAGCTCATTTGAGCTAGAATATACTGTTGCTGAGCTTCAGTGGCTCTTAAATTCAGACTCACAGGAGAAAACAGATATCATCTGTCACAGGGGGTGGGAGAAAGGAGACTCTACTCCGCATTTTATTCACAGGAGGCAGAACTCTAGTAACTAATTCAGACCTTCCTGACTAATCGCCTAATCATTCACCAGCAAACCTATCAACTAATCAGTGAAACCTCTGAGACACCCGTCTGAGGAGGTCTGGGAGCTCTTACCCCTTCTTGCTTTTAAAACAAATTATTCAAGTCTATTTTTGCATCATTGGTATTTTAATACCTTTTTTTTCAAACTGTGATAGAATATCTCCTTTCTTCCTTTTCTATTTTTACTGTTTCCATCTTTAATGTCTTTGTCAATGCTGTTTATTTATAACTGAGAATTAGAAGAAGGTTTAGGTTAGGCTAAGTGGGGCTAAATTTTGAATTATTATTATTATTATTGCTAAATAGACTGAAAACTATGCTTCTGTCTCTGGATAAATATCATCACCACTTAAAAAGCGAAGCCCAGCCCTGCTGTTTGGGAAGTGGCCAGCGGGCTAAGCCCACGATGAGAATTGAGAGGTCTGGAGAATATCTCTTCATGAATTTCTGTGACTAAGTATGTGGCCAGGGATTGCAAATGGATGTGAACAACGATGATCTAAAGTTTTTCCTCTGGCTTTAGGAAGGACGTGATTAAGCAACTTTGATCCTGAGAGGTAGGTTTATACACTTTAGTAGCAATGCTTGTCCTTCACTGTTTCAGCAGAAGCCAAAATTTCCACGGGAACATGAAAGCCGTTACATTCTTATGCTTTGTTTTCCTTTCTTTCCGTCCTTTTTCTTGAAATCCATGAGAGACAAGTAACTGTGCTGTTTCAAAATTAGTAGAAGAAAACCACTTTGATCCCTAAATACTGTTGTTTCTAATGGAGATCATTCATAGTCATCACACTTGGAATGGTTAGCAGGAAGTGTATGATCTGGTCATATCTATTTATGTGAATATATGTGAATATGTGTGTGTGTGTGTGTGTGTGTGTGTGTGTGTGTTTGAATACCCTTAAGGTCTCTAAGAATGTCACAGCAGGTACTTCCAGATACTCACTTTCACAACAATAAATCCATCAACCACTTTATCCTTTTCACGGAATGTGCTGGTGCATTACAGCCCTGGTAGAAGGGGTTGGCTTCATTTTCTTTAGAAGAAATGATACCCTGACATATTCACTTGTTGTGTCTTGTTGTACATTGGTATAGTGACTGACACATAGTATAAGAAATCACAAACTGCTCTGAAACAAGACAACTATGATGGAATTGTGATTTTTATATTAATAAATGTGTATTTGGTCCCTGCTCCCCATTTCTGACATAGCACTCCTAATCTGTGGGAATTCCCTGTGTTGCAGGGGTCTCTTGTGTTCTTACGAGGGGATTCTTCTGGACTTGTGGTCACCAGAAAGACAATGCCATGATCAGAGGCTTTCTGTGGTCCATCAGGAAATGGATGGGACCTGGAGAAGGAATTAATAATCAGTCATCCCTACTTGATGAGGCATCCATGAAATCCCTGAGCTATAGTTTCAAAGAGTTTCTGGCTGGTGAGACACAAGGTGGACTGAGAAGGGAGGTGCACATGGAAGGTGTGGAAGCCCTGTGCCCTTTGCCTGCTTCTCCCTGTGTGCCTCTTCCTCTGCCTGCCCACCTGCGTCCTTATCAATAGGATAAACTCATAAAAGCATTTTCCTGAGTTCTATGAGCCACTGTAGCAAGTTGATTGAGTCACAGAGTGGGATCATGGAGAGCTCCAGTTTGTGGGCAAGGCAAACAAAAGGGTGGGGGTAGCCAACAAGTTTTTAATGGAGCAGGGGCAGGGTTGTGGGGCTGGGCACTAGAAGTGTAGGTTAGGACCCTCTCTCCAGGTGGGTGGTATCAGCACTGAGTTAAATTTTAGGACAGTCACTTGGTGCCTACTGAAGAATTGATGTCTTCAGAAGAAAAGGGGAGTCCCAGCACGTCTGAACACAGAAGATATTGGGGTGAGTGCAAGCGTGTTACCACGTCACCTTGACAAAGTATCTGTATTTTTCACTAATGACTGAATTAGTTAGCAGAGTTTTAGGTTTTTTTTAAAAAAGGTCACATCTCTTCAATTTATAAGTACATAGGGAACATTTATTATGTGGCTGAAACTCTCTGTGCTGAAATTTGTAGTATACAAAGTAGTGGTTCTCTAAAGTGATGTAGACTCTGGAGATGTGAATCAAGTCTGTCTTGAACATGGGCCATGCCTCCCTTTTTCCTCTGTTCATTCTCACTGGTAAAAATAATTATAATCTAAAGTGGAGACGAGAGAGAATGACATGCAGAACAACTAGTGGGGAGGAGTATGCACTTAATAAATGCAGTAAAATGTGAGGAAAGGGGACACAGAGTACTGTCCCCTGCAAGAAGGCCTGGAGGGCAGACGATCAGGGATCAGCAGGGAAAGAGGGAGGTCCAGCAAGTCTCAGGGACCATGTGAGGAGGAACAAGAATGGAGAACTCTTGAGGGAGAGAGGTCACTGGCACCCAAAAGCCTGTTCCTGCTGAGAAGGCAGGTTGCTAAATTTCTAAGAGTTTTATGAGCTGTTTTTATTGTTATGAATATCCAATGATATAAACTTACACTTTGTCAGTTATTTCAAAAACAAAAGTGATGAAAAGTTCATGTGTGACTTTTTGATTACTATCAGCCACACTTGGCTGTCACCGGTGCTGTTGCCTCTGGGCAGTGGGATGATGACCGCCTCCTTTCGCCCCAGCATTAAGCCCTAGGCTTCTGGCTGGGGGCTGGCACTCTCCATGGTTGCAGTAGTTTAGCCATGGAATAGGCAAATGCCAAACACTGGGGCCTTTTTCATTTGAGAGCTGATCATTAAAATCTACCAGGCAAGTGTGGGGTGGACGTGGAAGTAAAGAGAGAACTGGGAAGTCCAAGTGGAAAAATATCAGAAGCTGGCCTGACGTTGGAGAAATGGTTTCATCTCAGCACTCAGATAGGCGAGTGGTTTAGAGCTGAGTTAGAAATCACAGAAAGCTGTGGCTTTGCTTACATACTTTCTATCCCTGCATTGTGCCTGGAGCTGTGTGTTGCTCAGAGGGGAGAATGCGCTCCAGAAAGGCGACTTCTCTGTGTGGGGACATCACAGC